GTTCATTTGCCCTCTGCCTTTGGGAAGGCTTCACTGGTGGCCACTCGCTGTCACACAGCAGACCAGCTGTAAAAGCTTTCCCATAGAGGCCAGCAACACGCAGCTTTAGGTATGCATCTGCAACAAATGCCCCATTCCAGGCCAGCTTCCCAGGAAGCTCTAGGACTTATCCATTTATTTAGGACGTGAGAATTTAACTAGAACCTGAAGGCATCTCAGAAATGATCTAGTTTGACCAGGTTCCAGGCCTCCAACCCATGGTAGGCACTTGGCCATGGTTTGTTCACCGAATAAATGAATCTTTCAGGTCTCACGAAGAAAACCCAGGCTTCTATCAAGAAAGCCACAAAAATGCACAAGTGACACTAAGCATTGGGACAGACGAGAAGCCTGAAGTAAACTGAGGCGGCTGTGCTTTGGGAAAGCCAAAACCAGCGAGCACACAGGGACAGAGAGCACAGGGACAGACACAACCTCTCACCCTGCACTTGACTCCCAGATTTCTCGCTGGTTAGCATTAGTCACACAGACGTTGGGAACACGCAAGTGTACTTGGGAGCCCTCTGTTCATCCCTTTTGCTTCGTAGGTCAACTTTTGCTAAATATTGAAATGTTCATAGAAAATATTGAAATGAACTGAGCACAATTTAACACCCGCAGACTCGCCACCCAGAACTAACATTGTCATAGTTAGACTTTACCCTGGAGGTCCCCTCGGATGCCAAAGATCTGGATCCCAGCAGGCTCCACCCACCGGCCCTGGATCCCAGCTGCCAGCTCCCAGCTTCTGCCTTCCGACGAGGACGGCTGCGGGACAGCCACTGCAGGCCAAGGCTCCCTCTCTCCGGATCTGGTCTCTGCAGTGTCCTCATGGATGCTCTTGCCAGAAACCTGGCTGTCATCTCTGACCCCTTCCTTGTCCTCATCCCCGTGTGAATCATTCTAACTGCTGTCATTTCTGTCCCCAAATGCACCCCCAGTGGTCTCAGTGTCACCACCTTGACCACCTGACTCTGGTCAAATCGCTGCTGTCTCCTGGGCCTCTGCTGGCCCACATGGCTCCTTTGTGAACCCCGAATAAGGCAGCGGCTCAAGCAACTCGGCCCGCTGGAAACACAATTTAGTTGGCAAATAATGCCTTTGAGCCAATAAGAGAAATGTGCCCTGTCCTTAGCTCAGACACAGCTCCAAACAACGGTCATGGCTTGGCAAGCTGAGGAAGGCTTGAATGAGTTCCCACGGGCCCACTTGGCCAGGTACCATGGTCCAGAGGGCATCCTGCACACCTGCACTGGGGACCTTTGTGCCACCTGGATGTTGCACGAGCTTCCCGGCGGTACCTGCTTCCATCCCTGCCTCCTTAAACCCACTCTCCACGTGCAGCCAGAGTGATGCTGTCCCTGTGAGCGAGCACACACACACACACACACACACACACACACATACACACACACAAGCCAGTGCCCATGGCCTCCCCTCACTCTTGGAATAGAGTCGGAACTATGTCATCAGGATGATATACTCTGGCTGTCCAGGCCCGTGCTGTCCTCTCCCACTCTCTCTAGCCACGGCCACATTGGCCATCTGTCCCTGAAGGCTTTCACTGCGTTCCACCTCAGGGTCTTCAGGCTTCTGTTCCCTCAGCCTGAAACGCTGCCCTCGCCCTGCCTTGCTCAGGCCTCCCTCTCCTTCTGGTCCTCCCTCAGGAGCAGCCTCCCCCGATCCCAGCCCTCGTCGTGGTCGTCACGGCCCTCATGGCCGTGGGAGGTGTCCTCCAGTGTCCCAGGCGCCGAAAGCTCCTGAGCAGCTCCCAAGCGTAAGACCCCACGTACGCCGGCTTCTCTGCTTTGCCCCGAGTGCCCACACGGCCTGGCTCGCGACAATCGTTAACTGAATATTACACATTAAGGCCTGCTTACACGTGTGACCCTGCCTTCAGCAAGCCCTGGGAATATTCAGCCAGGGCCTTAACTGGTCTGAGTCTTTAGAGCATGTGGGGAGAGGCGCAAGCTAATAAAAATTAGCAAAGCATTCCTTTGATAGCTCGTAAGTTCCATGTTTTACAGGTTTTCAGGTTGGCTTTGTTTTTGTCTGTTTTACTGCTACGTCGACAGTGCGAAATGTTTAACCACTCTCACGGCACAGGCTCTGACCAACGAGCAGAACACACACCAGGCGCACACCGTGCTGTGCCCGTCAGCTGTGTGTCGGCGTTGCTCCCAGCTGAACCTGACATCCAGAACATCCTGCGTGCATCCCACACAACTGTTGAGTGAATGAATGAATGGAGGTGGAAGGCGGTGAGGTAAGTGCAGGAACTGCCAACCGCCCATTTCTCATGGACCAGGGAAAGCTTTGTGGAAGGAAGCCTAGCTGCGAGGGACCTTGTTGCTGAGCCAGGGGACTTGGCCTCCGGCTGGTGATGACCGAGCAGAGGGTGAATGGCGCTGGCGGCTGTGTGCAGGGGACTGGGGTGGATCGCAGAGCCACCAGGTGTGGCGAGTGGGAGGTGCTCCAGTCTTGAACTGCCACGGCAAGAGAGGTCTAAGGCATCAGGGAGGGGGAGCACCCCATGCTATTCCCTGCGTACCCCGCTCCAGGCACATTTCCCAGTGACCACGAAGGGGAATGCACACTGGGCTCCCTGCTGAGTCAGCCCAGCTCTTTGACCCTGGGGTTGATGATTGTCAGACACCCAGGAGCCAGCCAATGAGGGGACTGAGCATCCAGGCCTGTCCCCCAAGGTGCGGCAGGCCCTGGACAGTCTCCTGGATCCCATCAGAGGCTGAGGGCTGAGGCTGCGCTGGACACTCAAAGCTCCTGCTGTGGCAGGTGAGGGATGCGGGCGGAAGGACAGTGCTGTGAGCTGGACCTTCCTCGGGATCTTGAGCCTGGGCCATTGTTGGTGTTTGCCTCTTATGGCAATGCGAAAATATGCAGTCAAGGGGGAAAGAGCCGTGGCTGAAACGTGTGCTCGTCAGCACAGGATTTCTGCAATGTATGGTCCCTGGAGAGGGACGAAAGGGCTGGGGACAGTAGCCTGGCTGCTGCAGGTGTCAGCCCATTGTACCAAGAAGCTGAGAGAGCCAGAAAAAGGGAAAAGAGGGTAGAGGGGAAGGTACTTTATTACATCTCGGCATATTAGAAGTTATTACATCGTGAAAGCAGCCCCAGAAGGCAGGTTTTATTTTACACTGTTCTACACATGGAGAAACAGAGGCTCAGAGACGTTAAGTGGCATGTCCAAGGTCACACGGCCAGAAAGCCATGGAACCAGGATTTACATGCTGGTCTTTTGGACCCTACCTTCTCCCAGTGAAGGTGGCCTGCTTCCTCCCGATCAAAAGCAGAAAGACACCTTCTTGAGCAGGGTCTCCCCGATCCTGCGAGGCTCCAAGGCATGGGGCACTCACGTGGCATTCTGTCTCTTCTGCAGGGCTGCCGGGAAGGCGTGCAGGGACTCCTCACTTTCTCTGTTGGACTTTGAGATTAAAGACGCTGAGGTCTCCCCATGGCTCCTTATCTCATCCGCAAATACCAGGAGAGCGACCACAAGTGGGTCGTGGGGTCGAGCACATTCCTGCCACTTTCCACCACGTGCTGAAGCTGCCCCGCACTCTCGTGCTCTTGCCTGGGGGGCCCCTGGCCCTACTCCTGGTCTCTGGCTCCTGGCTCCTGGCTCTCACATTCGGCCTCGCCCTCCTCCCTGTCCTGTGGTTCCTTGCTGCACGTCCCTGGACAGAGTATGTGGACATGATTTTGCGCACGGACATGGCTGACATCACCAAATCCTACCTGAGTGAGCCTGGCTCCTGCTTCTGGGTGGCTGAGTCTGAGAAGAAGGTGGTGGGCACAGTGGGAGCTCTGCCCGTTGATGACGCCACTTTGCAGGAGAAGCGGTTGCGGCTGTGTCACCTCATTGTGTCCTCTGAGCACCGTGGTCAGGGGATAGCAAAAGCCCTGGTCAGGACTGTCTTCCAGTTTGCCCGGGACCAGGGCTACAGTGAAGTTTTCCTTCATGCCACCAAAATGCAGCTTTCTGCCATGGCCCTCTACAAGGGCATGGGCTTCCAGAAGACCGGCCGGTCCTTCCTCACCATGAGTGCGAGGCTAGTGGATCTTCACGAAGTTCATTTCATCTACCGCCTCCCTTCTGCTCAGGTTGGGGGCCCGTGATCTCCTTCCTTGTGTATCAGTCAGCAGAGGATCCTCAGTGCTGGGGCAATACGCCAAGCTGACCTTTCAGTGCTGACACAATAAAAGCTTATTGGTCATTCACATCAGAGTCCCAGTGTCTGGTGGGGTGGTGGAGAATGGGGTAGTGGTCCATTCAGTCTTTGTGGGTCATGCCTCTTTTGTTTTGTAGTGCCATGGCGATGTTGCATGAGAAAATACAGCAAAACAATAATAAGCGATTACTTAGCGCATTAGCCTACAGGTCAGCAGCAGCTTTGGCTGGGCTTGGCTGGGCAGGTCCTCTGGTCTCAGGTGGCTGAGCCAACCCCATGGTACAAATGCCATGTGGTTGGCTAAAGTCACAGGGTGATGGAGCTCTCATTTCCCAGCAGGATAGCTCAGGCATGGTTTTCAGGCAATGGCAGAGAAGCAAAAACAAAAGCAGAAACAAGGAAATGCACTTTGAAGTCCCCGGCGTCGCATCTGCTGACATCCCGGACTCAGGGGAAGAGATGGACCTGCCCCCGTAGTGAGAGCAGCAGCAAAGTCACATGGCAAAGGGGTGGGACGTGGCCATGGGGAAGAACCGGGGCCAGTGACCCAGTCAGACGTGTCTAGCCCCAAGGTCTCTGCTAGGGAAAGAGGGCAGCTGGGGACAGAATGTGAGATTCAACATGGGCTGAACCTGGACCCAGTGGTGGGTCCCCAGCAAGACTGAAGGGAGGCTGGGCATGGGGTTTTCCCATGTGTTCGGGAAGAGGGTATGGGATTGTGCATTTCCCATATCTGTCACACTTGGGACCCAGCCTCTGTCCCCAAAAGCTGAGAGACTCCAGATTTTCATAGGTGCCTGGGGTCTGACTACATCAGGCCCTAAGCCTTGTATCGAGTGGCAAGTTGGGACTCAGGCCTGTGCTGATGTTGGCGCACCAAGTCCCTTTCCCAGCTAGTTCTGTTACGGCAGGGCTGACCGAGAATAGATCGAGAGACACACACAGAGATTTTGGCAATATAGGTTTTATATTCCGGCCGACAAGGCTCAGAGGGGAATTTGCTCTCCCCAAATTCTGAGCACCAGAGAAAGAGCATTGCAGTCTTTTATACACTCTGCTTAACGAGGAGGGGCACGGCTACAACAGGGTTAACTTTAGTGAGGCAGAGCCCTAAGCTACTTTTACAGCCTGGTATGTTAACTGCTACAGGTGATTTATGAGGGGAAAGGTCACAGGGGAGGAGGGGAGCCAGGTAAGGATTGCAAGGAAAAAAAAGCCCGGTAGTGGAATTTCTAAGAATTCCACTTTAGTGGACTTTTCCAATCTTCCACTTCATTCCCCCCTTTTGATGCTCCTATATATATATATCATGAGAGATTCATCCTCATGTGTCTATTATAGGGCATCATCCTTTAATGGGGAATAGCCTCCTAAGGCCATTATATGAGCTGTTGTTTTCAGGTTACAGTTGTTTCTATGAATTTTATAATTGTGCTTAGTAAGCGGGAGACAGACAAGGATTAGAATGGGGAACAACATTGTAACCAAGAAAGGAACCCCACCACAGCCCAACATAAGATGACTAATAACAGGCTTTCCCCTGGCCCCCAGTCCTCTGGGGCCACTGAGTAAAGTCCAATGCCCGGTAGTAAGGTCAATAGTCCAAACAGGCCGATGGCGATGTAACAGGCTGGCTCAGTCATTCGGCTCGGGTGACCTCTGGCGTGGTTTCTGGGCCGCCGCTACGCCAGCGGTGGATTCTCAGTGGGTCCTCTGGGTCGTGTTGCACTGTCCAGGGGTCCCGGTTCCCCTCAGGTGTGGCCTTCTTTATTGTCGTGTGATGAATCCAGGGTGCTATTCCTGCAACTTTAACAGCAGAGGGTGTGATTAAGACTACAGTGTGGGGGCCTGTCCAGGTGGGCTCTAGTGGTGTTTTCTTCCAGTCTTTAACCCAGACTGAGTCTCCAGGCTGGTGCGAGTGGACTGGGTGTCCCATTGCTATAGGAATCTGTTTTAGAACATCGTGATGAATGTGACTCAGGGTTTCAGATAGGGAAATAAGCTGAGTGTGCAGGGTCTTTTCCCCTATCTGGGTGATGTCTCCCTTCATCTGCTTGATTAGGGGAGGGGCCCTTCCATATAAGATTTTAAAGAGTGAATATCCTGTCGGCTCTGGAGTGCATCTGACTTTAAGCAATGCTAGACTAAGTAAATCTACCCAAGGTAACCCTGTCTCTTGACATAGCTTGCAAGGGTGTTCTTAAGGGTCCGGTTCATGCGCTCTACTTTCCCTGAGCTTTGTGGTCTGTATGCAGTATGGAGTTTCCACTTGACCCACAATGCTTTAGTTAAAGTCTGTGTGATTTCTGCTGTGAAGCTTGGTCCATTGTCGCTGCCGATTGAGAGTGGCAGCCCATAACGGGGGATTATCTCCCTTAGAAGAATTTTTACTACCTCTTTAGCCGTTTCAGCTCGGGTGGGAATAGCCTCTGTCCATCCTGAGAAGGTGCATACCATTACTAACAGGTATTTCATTCCCTTGCATTGTTTTACCTAAGTGAAATCGACCTCCACATCTTCAAAGGGAGATGTTCCTGTGTGTTGAATACCTGGAGCAGGCCTGGGTCGTGCCACTGCGTTATTCCTGGCACGCGTCTCGCAGCTAGAGAAGGGAGTCTGGGGATGTAATAGTGGCGGCTAAGTAGGGTGGTTAGGGCAGTCTTTCCCATGTGTGAGTGTAAATGATATTCATAGGTGACTGAGTAGGCCAGCTTTTCAGGTATGAAAATCCGACCGTCCGGTAGGCGCCACCACCCTGTCTTGGTCTTTTGGGCTTTTTCTCTTTCTGCCCAGGCCTCTTCCTCTGGGCTGTATTTAGGTTGTTCAGGCCACTCTGGTGCTAGGAGGATTTTACTGGCTTTCGGTGTGCCTTGTTCGAGGTTTTTCTGTCCTGCTGCAGCTTTCGCTGTCTGATCAGCCAGATGGTTGCCAAGGGTGACTGGATCTGTTTCCTTTTGGTGGCCTCGGCAGTGTATTACAGCTATTTCTTTTGGTTTCTACACAGCTTTTAATAGTTGGAGAATTTCTTCCTTATTTTTTATTTCCTTACCTCCTGCTGTTAGCAGCCCTCTTTCTTGGTAAAGGGCTCCATGTACATGTAACGTACTCCAGGCACATTTTGAGTCTGTGTATATGTTGGTTTTTTTTCCCTCTGCATATTTGAGTGCTTGTACCAGGGCCCATAATTGTGCCCTCTGAGCAGACCATCCTGCTGTCAAAGGTTCGGCTAAAACAACTTTGTCTCTGGTTGTTACAGCGAACCCCGCCTTTCGTCATCCATCTTGGACATAGCTGCTGCCATCTGTGGACAGCTCTAATTCTGGGTTCGGCAGGGGAGTGTCTCTCAGACCGGGTTGGCTAGCATAAACTTCCTCTGTTACCTCAAGGCAATCGTGTTCCGGGAGTCCAGGGTCGATGGGCAAGACAGTCACGGATTTAGAGTCCGTATGGCTTCCAGGGTTATTTGTGGATTGTCGCACAGTAGCCCTTGGTATTGGGCCAGCCGGCTGCTGGAGAGCCAGCGGTGCCCTAGATTGTCGATAAGCTGTATTACAGTATGTGGGGTACGATCTTGGCTGTGCCGGCCCAGGGTAAACTTGTCTGCTTCCTTGATTAAGAGAACAGTGGCGGCTACAGCCCTAAGACAGGAGGGCCATCCGGACACTACCGTATCTAGCTGCTTAGACAGGTAAGCTACCAGCCTCTGCCATGGTCCAACAGGTTGAGTCAAAACCCCCACGGCCACATGGTCTCTCTAGTTGACAAACAGGTTAAAGCCTTTAGTATGGTCTGGGGGTCCCAGGGCCAGGGCTCGATGCAGCTGGTCTCGTAAATCTTGGAAAGCTTCCTCCTGCTCCTCTCCCCACTCTAAATCTTGTGTCTCGGGACCTCGCAGAGCCTCATAGAGTGGTTTGGCTGTTAGTGCAAACCCTCATACCCAGATGCGACAGAACCCAATTGCTCCCAAGAATTCCCACAGTTGTCGCCCAGTGGAACACCTCCGGATTGGGCAGATCGCATGTTTTCTCTCATGTCCCAGTTCTCTACGTCCTTCAGTGATTGTAAATCCCAAATACTTGACAACTTGGCAGCAAATTTGTGCTTTCTTCCATGAAACCTTATATCCCCTCTCTGCCAGCAGCTGAAGTAAAGCTCGGGTGGCCTGCAAGCATTCATCCTTAGTGCGGCATGCTAGGAGGAGGTCATCTATATACTGCAGAAGAGTGCGGCTAAGCTCTTCGCGCGGGTACGAGTCCAGATCTGCAGCCAGTGCTTCCCCAAAGATAGTTGAGGAGTTTTTGAAACCTTGGGGTAATCTTGTCCAGGTGAGCTGCCTCCTCCTTCTAGTGCCGGGATCTTCCCAGTCGAAGGTGAAAAGAGGCTGACTTGCCGGTGCCACACGGCCACAAAAGAAGGCGTCTTTCAGGTCTAAACAAGTGAAACATTTGACATCTTTGGGGATGAGCCCCAGGAGGGTGTAGGGATTTGGCACTGCTGGGTGGAGGGTGATTGCAGCCTCATTTACTATCCGAAGGTCCTGGACGGGTCGGTAGGTCCCGTCAGGCTTTTTCACTGGGAGCAGGGGGGTGTTCCAGGCTGACTGGCATTCCTTCAGAATGCCTTCCTGAAGGAGTTTGTTTAGGTGGGTTTGAACTCCCTCTCGGGCCTCTCTCGGGAGGGGATATTGCCTCTTCCTTATGGGCTGGGCTCTCTCCAAATTCTGAGCACCAGACAAAGAACATTGCAGTCTTTTATACACTCTGCTTAAGGAGGAGGGGCATGGCTATAACAGGGTTATCTTTAGTGAGGCAGGGTCTTGAGCTACTTTACAACCTGGTGCACTTCTTGCTAAAGGTGATTTGTGAGGGGAAAGGTCGCAGGGCAAGAGAGGAGGAGGGGCCTGGTCACGACAGGGTTAACTTTAGTGAGGCAGAGCCCTAAGCTACAGTACAGTCTGGTACACTAATTGCTGCAGGTCATTTAGCAGGGCAAGGTCGCAGGTGAGGAGCGGGCCCAGGTAAGGATCCAAGGAAAAAAAGCCTGGTAGTGGAAT